TTCCCCCCCCGTCCCCCCCCCCCAAATAGCCAGCCCTAAGAGGTTTGAGCAATAGCAAGCTCATGGGCTACATGAGCCCAATTCCAGGACAAACGGTGTCTTCCAAGAGTTCAGCTCTAGTTGTGTGTGTGTGTGTGTGTGTGTGTGTGTGTGTGTGTGTGTGTGTGTGTGCATCTTTTCTCCATAGCACAGTGGAAAGCTTAACTAGTTCTTAACAGTGCTAGTTAAGAACTAGTCAGTGGTAATTGGGTCTGTGCCCTCAATCTGCCACCTAGTTGCTCTATATCCTTGGGCTTGGGAAAGTTACTTAATCTCCCTGAGCCTCAATTTTCCATTAAAAGAGACAGGGTTTGGCACAGAGTAGCATCAACACACTATAGAAGTTGGAATTTTATTGGTATTCATGTTAATACAAGAGGCTGTTCTGTCACAAAGCCTGCATTAGGGTGTTGGCTCTCAAGTCTCTCTCTTGGCGAGAGCAGGGTGGGGAGGCAAACAAGGCCACCCACAACTATCGAGCATGACCAACACGCACGTTCCTTCCGCAGCCCCTGGCCCAGAGCACGCGAGGGGGCAGGGATCTCTTAGAAAGGCTCCCTCCGTGTTTTCAAGAAGAAACTTCCTTTAAATACTAACCTAGAAAGTGGTCGAAGCGTTTGACTGGGCATCTAATGCACAGATCTGTGTACAAGAAATTACCTGGGAGACTGAATGAGCCTTTTATGAACTTTCGAGGATGAAGCCCAGTAGGACTAATGTACCTGAATGCAGTGCACCTCACAGTTTCATACGGGGCTGTCAATCGTAGAAGTCAGAGGGAAGGGATCAAAAGAACTCCAGGTTCGTTAGATTTTGAGTAAAATAGTATTTGCATTTTAACCGTTCAACTGCCTCAGCTTCCTCAGGAAGGCTATTAGAAGACTGAAAGCAAAATGCTTTGAAGGTAATATAATGACAATGTTACTTATGATTTACTGAGTGCCTACTGTGTAGCAGGCACTATGTTAAGCATTTTTGTTTGAATTAACTCATTTAACTCTCACTATCCTCTGCAATAGACATTGTTACTCTCTCAGTTTTATAAATAAAGTAATGAGGCTAAGAGAGATGAAACAGCTAGTCTAAGGTCACAGAGGAGCAAGCAACATAGGTAGATTCAGATCCAGGTCTGACTCTAAGACTCTTATTCGGTCAGTGTCTCTGCCACGCAAGTTTTGCTGCCCAGCTCCTTCAGAAACTTCTGAGCAAGCCTGCCCCCCAGTGGTCAGAGGAGACCTGGGACTGAGAGAGCTCTTATTATACCAAGTGCAACATTTTTAAGCCCATCTCAGAAATATTGGTGTCTCCAAACCACATTAGTTTGGAGTATTGCTAACTCTGCTATTAGCAAGAGCCCTGAATTCTGTCTTTCTCAAAGTCTCGCACCTTTCATTTTATAGACTCTAAAAAGGTTTGTAGCAGCAGCAGCGCCTGGACCCTACCCCAGGAACTGGTAGCTGAAGCTCCTTGTAACGGACAAGGCACCTTAACGCAGTGTGGTAGAGTGGGCTCGGGTCTGAGGGGAGGTACCTTTGATCAGACCAAGCACCCACCCAATCCAGCAGGATGTCCTTGTGGGAAATGTCTGGCCTGTGTCCTGTTATTTCTAAACTCCAGTTCCAGCCACAATGACCTCACTGCTGCATCAAGACAATAATGCTGTGCTGGGGAGAGGAGCCTAAGGGCCATGAACAAGGACAGCAGCAAACTGAGGATCTGTGTGATTCCTTTGCAGAGCTTTCCCTCTCGGGGTCATGCAGAATTATGGGAGTCACCCTTGTAAACAAAAAGACAACTGAGCAGCTGAATTTCACAGAAGCCAAGGAGGCCTGTAGGCTGATGGGACTAACGCTAGCCAGCAAAGACCAGGTCGAAGCAGCATGGAAGTCTGGCTTTGAGACTTGCAGGTGAGCAATAGCTGGGTTCACAAACACAGCCGGAGCTCTTTGGCTCTGTATTCTTGTTCAGCCATAGGGATAAATGTGTTTGTTTAACTAATATGTATTCTGTTACAGCTTTGGATGGGTTGCAGATCAGATCTCAGTCGTTCCTCGGATTCTCCCAAACCCCAAGTGTGGAAAGAACAGGGTGGGCGTTGTGACTTGGAGAACTTTACCCACCCAAAAGTTAAAGGCCTATTGTTACAACTCATCTGGTAAGTCACATCTGCAGCCTCTCCATGTGCTATGTTTTCTCTGGGTTTCTCTAGCTGTAGAATGTGTCTGAGAAGAGTGACCATGAGCACCAGCAATCATAGTGATGATCATTTAACCCTCTCAAGACTGACTCTGTGACCAGGCTAGAGGTGGCAGTGTGCTCCTTGGAGGAAAAAGTTAGGGAAAATATGATTGACTGGCAACATAGGGGGACGGCATCCTAGAAGGCCTCATTACCTCCACCCTCCATCCCATAAAATAAACAGGAAGAGCCCTGGCCAGGTGGTTTGGTTGGTTGGAGTGTCATCCCATACACCAAAAGGTTGTGGGCTTGATTCCGGGTCAGGGCACATACCTAGGTTGCCGGTTTGATCCCCAGTAGGGGTGTGTATGGGAGGCAACCAATCAATGTTTTTCTCTCACACCAATGCCCCTCCCCCTTTCTCCGTCCCTTCCTTTCTCTCTCAAAATCAATTTTAAAAAACATATCCTAAGGTAAAGATTAAAAAATAAAATAAAATAAAATAATAAACAGGAAGAAGAGAAGGAAATATCCATTATGGACAAAGTAGTGTACTAAGTTATCTCACTGAGTCTTGACAACCTCCCTACGAGGTATGCTTTATCAACCTCATTTTGCAGGAAAAAACTTAGCTCAGAGGCTATAAGTACAATTGTCTAAGATCTCAATAATATAAAGGTTCAAACACGAGTCTAACTCTAAAGTCATGCTCTTCCCATCACCCTACATTCCTTTATGGGAGAGGAAATCCAGCCGCTACATTTGATGTTATTTAGAACAAGACCCAATCTCCATTTTATGAAGGAAAGAGTTGAAACAAGAAAGTAGAGCTGATGTGCTGACACTCAGCTGTCACTCTTTCAACTTTGTTGGGGACCTTGTTTGCCTTAGCCCAAGGGCTTTACCTTCCCAGAAAGGTGTAAGTACCTTCTCAGAAAGGTTTTCCTTTTACCAAATACTTGTCCTCCGTTTGTCATAAGAAATTCTGCCTGACATATTACTCTTCACCCATATTCAAAAATCTGACCTTCTAAAGGTCATACAGCTGAGCGGTGATACACAAGGATGGATCCCAAAACCATTCTCTACGAACCAAGAGATAAATGCGCATTGACAATATTGTTTCCCAAAGGCAACATAGGGTCCGAGCAGTTCTCCCAAGCGGGGAGCTTTGCATTTCTTTTAGTCCTCAGAAGATATCCCTCTAGATATGTACTGTCAGAGAACTGGGTACAAAAGAGACTTGTAAAAATTCAAGTGGCTATACTATCACTTTGAAATAAATCAGGTTGACCGGCTTCTCCTTGTGAGGATCAGAATCACCCTAAACCTACCCGTGTTTCTTTGTTTCTGTAACTTCCTTTTCATTACTATCTTGTGAGATCTGGGACTTGGAATAACTTTAACCCTGATTCATTGCCACTCTCCAGGAGAAGTGACTGATGCTTAGGGTATACCGTGCTATGGTCACAGTCAATGAGGGAAAGAGCCAGGATTTAAATCTCAGATCATGGCGCTTCCCTGTAGCACCTTCCATGGTGGTAACCGCACATCAATAGCGCAGGCCTGGAATGGGTCCTGGGCATCAATATTTTTTAAGCTTCCCAGATGAGTCTAACCCACAACCAGAGGATAGAATCACTTTTTGCTAGAAGGTCTCTAAGGTCTAAATTCTAGGATTCCAGACACTTCTGAATTCCCCTATTTCCATGCAGTTGCAAACATCTCCTTTACACTGGACTGCACCCTCTGCCCTCTGTATTTCATCTCCACCCACCTCCATTAATAATCATGTCACTCCTATGCTCCACAACATTGGATAACTTCCCATTTGAGAGTATGATGTAAATAACAAAGCTTTTTGCACATAAAAGTGGGCATATATGAGAACTTGTATGTCAGTTGAGAGCTTTTGTGTATCAGTTTGTGGACCCCAGTCAAAAATTCCTGCTCCTACAGAATAAATTCCAAATTCTTTACCATGACAATTATGAATCGCAGTACTCTAGCTCCGAACTGTCTTCCTCGTCTCATCTCTTACCAGCAGTATTTCACGCCGCCGATCCTACGCACACCCTACTCTCCAGCCACACTGTGCTTCTTCTCGCTTTTCTAACACAATCACACTTTCAGACTTCTGGGTTCTTGGATTCTGCTAATGCCTACGGACTGGGGTAGTCTCTTCCCCCTCCCATACTAGATGAGTTGCTCCTCAGTTCCAGCCATTCTGGCTTTTTTTCCCTCCATCAAACATGCTGAGTTCATTCAACTTCGGGCTCTTGAACTTTTCATTCTCTTCATTTGCAATTCTTTTGTCCGAGACCATCAATGGCTGGCTACTTATCACCATTCAGGTGAAGTACCACCTCCACAAAGAGATTGTCTCTTATCTCCCTGTCCAGAGTATCTGCCTTCCATTCCCTGCCCCTCCAGTTTAATCTTTATCCTGTTCAATTTTCATCTCAACTTTTACCACCCTTTGACATTTCTGCCTTTAAAAAATAATTATCTCTATCCTTCCAGTAGCATATAAGCACCTTACAAGCAGGGGTTTTATCTCATTTGCACCCTGTCCCTAGCGATTAGAGCAGTACCTGCACAAAGTTGGAGCTCAGTAAATATTTGTTGAATGAATACGTAAGCTTCCCTACCCTGCCCCACTGCCATGCCCTCTGTGAATCCCCAGTGATCTCCCCTTATCCTTATCAAAATACTCGGTCCTCCCAGAAACAGGAACCATGCCTTACTTGTCTCTATATTTTCAGTTCCCAGCACAGTATATTGTGCTCAGTAGTTTTTCTCCCTGATATTAAATTGTTTTTAATTTTCTGAGCGAAGAACTCAGCATTGCTCAAAAATGGGAAATGTAGCTAAAAGTTCAAGGCAGAGAAAGTCAAGGATAATGTCTGTTTGAATAGAAGTATTTTCAAAGTAAAATGAATATCATAAAATTCTGACTGAATGCATGTGTAGTCAAATGTTTCATCAGTACTACAGATAGTATCCATGATCTTGATTGATAATTTATTTAATTTTCAAAAATGAATGGAATGACTTTTCTTTTTTATTTTATTTTAAATATGTCTTTATTGATTTCAGAGAGAGGAAGGGAGAGAGATAGAAACATCAATGATGAGAGAGTCATCATTGATCGGCTGCCTCTTGCATGCCCCCCACTTGGGATCAAACCCACAACTCGGGCATGTGCCCTGACCAGGAATTGAACCACAATCTCCTGGGCCCTAGGTTGATACTCAACCCCTGAGCCATGCTCAGCCGCACAGAATGATTTTCCTTCATAGCTAGCATTCCAGCTGAAGCTACCCCCTGCCACAAATAAATAGGGGTTTTAAATAGATGCAAATTTGCATTATAATATATTCATGGCTCTGCCATTTACTAGCTCTGTGACTTTGGGCAAGCCATTCAGTTTCTCTGAATTTCAGTCCCCTCTTATATAAATGAGGGTCTGATAAAATAGTTAAATGAAGTGCTATGATGACTCAGAGCAAGATGCTCAACAAATGTTAGCTTCCTATCAACCACATTCGATAGATTAAAAAGCAAACCTACATCTCTCCCTTATTTCCCCCTGCCTTTTTTGATGAGCACAGAGAAACTTAGTTTTAGTAGATCTTTGTCTTGAAGGGGTGTCATGTGTGTGTATTTGGTCTCCCTATCTACTCCTTCTTTTCACTTTTCCTTCCTTGCTTTGTCAAGTAGTGCACATATCATGATGACTAAGACAGACCAGTAGGAAGGAGTATAATGGGAGCCATGACAAGGGAAATACAAGGAGGTAAAAGAACATGTGCCTCGGGACCCCATCTGGTCATCGAGTCTGCCTAAGAAAGAGATGTTCAATCTGAGACCTGAAGGACAAGTAAGAGTTAGCTAAATAAAGAGGGGGTAAAGAGTCTTAGAGGTGAAGAAAGCATCAAGGTCCAAGGCTTGTGAGAGAAAGCATATCAAAGAACTGAAGGAATTTCAGTATGGTAGGAGGAATGAGAGAAAGACTGACCAAATCATGGAGGGCCTTACAGGCCATGCAGTAGAGACAGTCACCCAAGGATTCTAAGGAAGGGAGTGATATAATTAGATTTGCATTTTTGCAAAACCATTCCAGCTCCAGTATAAGGGGACTGAGGGTTGGGGTGGGTGGGAGTAAGACTAGAGGCAAGAAGACCAGTTAGGAAGCTATTGCAATATTGTTATTTCATTTTTTCTTCCCCACAGATATTTGGATTAACTCATGCTTTCCAAATACTATCACCACCAAAGAGCCCATATGGAACACTGAAACAGCAGCATACACAGCAGAAACGATTGGCAGTGACACTGTGCACTCAGCATTACCTACTGATGTGCCGTACTCTACTACACCTCCTCCTGCCCCTGCTCCAGTGCCCACTTCTCCGCGGAAAAGAAAGTTAATTTGCATAACAGAAGTTTTTATGGAAACTACTACCATATCTATGGAAACTGAATCATATACCGAATATAAAACAACATTCAAGAATGAAGATGCTGGGTTTGGAGGTAAAGCTGTCTGTGTCTGTGTCTGTGGTGTGTGTGTGTGTGTGTGTGTGTAACAGACAATACATCAACACATAGAAATTAGGCTGTCTCCGGATTGGGCATTCAGGACCTGTCAAATACAAATACAAACTTAATGCAAACTCAACTCTCATAGTCATAGAAATTGAGAGCTCTAAAAAACCTTAATGATTAAACTAAAAACCATGAATACAAAATAGTTTTACTTTTCAAACTCAACTTTTAAAAATAAATTACTATCTATGAATATGTAGTAGTTTTTAAAAAATATATACCTTAAATGCATATGATTAGAAAGTTGGTTTTTTTATTTCTTATATGCATTAATGCATAACCCATGGACACAGGCAATAGTGTGGTGAAGGCTTAGGGTGGAGGTGGAGGGTGGGTGCAAGGCAGAAGGGGTCAATGGGGAAAAGGGGGCATCTGAATGCTTTTAACAATAAAGATAAATAAATAAAATAAAAGTAAGGGTCTTACACTTGATTAGCTCCAAACTTATCATCTCAAGGCCACACATGGACTCTTCCTGTCACAGTGCAACTGGTAGACTGGACAGCGTGTGAGAGGCAAGGCCAAGGAAGGGTTCTATGGGCAAAGCAGCAGATGTGGACCCAGCATCCTAAGGGGCCCCTGTGTGGTCGCAGAGAAGACTTTTCTCCTTCACATCTGAGCCTCAAGCCCGGTAGAGATGCATGCTAGGTGCGTGTTAGAAGAGCGGTGCGCAGCAGCGTGTGAGTGAGGGACCAACGGCCATCTGTTTCCTCCAGGTGTCCCCACGGCCCTGCTAGTGCTAGCGCTCCTCTTCTTTGCCGCTGCCGCCGCTCTCGCCGTGTGCTACGTCAAAAGGTGGGGTTGTTGGCACATCGTTCGTCTTAACATCTTTGTTGTATCCCTATCTTGTGTTTTTCCAAAGTTGTTATTACAGGCTAATGGCCGTCCCTTTGAAAATCAAGAAATAAAAAGAAAAGATTGACATCCAGGGGAAGATGTATATGCTTTATTTGATGTTTGATTCTTTGCTTTTGGTGGGAGGGCTGGGGGGCCAGCCTGAAGTTTGTCCCGCGAGCTTACTATCCCCTCTAAATGAACCCGTTCGGGGGGTGCGCTCATGTACTTGAGCATCTCTCGGTGTTAGCATCTCTGGCATAGAGCGCCCGGCGCGCGGAGCCAATACGGCCGCCGCAGACAGAGCACTATCTGCTGTTGCGCGTGTTACACAGAATTCTCTCGCTTTAATGTCATGTTTATGCCCGCAGGTACGTACAGGCCTTCCCTTTTACAAACAAGAATCAGCAGAAGGAAATGATTGAGACCAAAGTGGTGAAGGAGGAGAAGGCCAATGACAGCAACCCAGGGGAGGACCCAAACAAAACCGACAAAAGGCCCGAAGAGCCCAAGGGCCCGCCCAAAACTACCGTGCGGTGCCTGGAAGCCGAAGTTTAGATGGGAGAGGAAGGAGGGCACTGAGGCCGACTTCTTTCGGGACACAGATCCTCGCCCCAGATGGGGAAACTAAAAGGGCCAAAGGACCAAACAAGCCCAGCCTTGCTGCCTAACTGGAACCAGCTCGGGGCTGCCTTTGGACTATGTAGGTGACGTAACCAAAGTGAATTCCCTTCTTGCCGCGATCCTTGCTGGACCCTGTCCTCCTGCCTCCAAAGCTTCCCACACTTTTCTAGTCTTGTTATGTCCTAATAATATCTCAGTGGAAGAAAGGAGCTTTGCAAAGCACAGGGATCTAAAACAGCTAATCAGAACACATTTGTAAAGAGGCCTCTGGGCTGGCCGAGAACAGGCGAGATGAGAGCCAAGAAACCACCGAAACCAAGGCTTTCTCTATTGATTCCACACCAGATCCCTTCTTCAGCTCTGCAAAGGAAACACTTATACCACCTGGCATGTCCTTCTGAGCCAGGCAAGAGCAAAAGAAGGAAGGAAAAGTTTAGCACTGAAGGCCATAGAGTCCCGTGACTTGAGACCTGATCTCTGTAAAGCCACAATAAACAGAGAGAAGGAATGAGGCCGAGGACATTGACAGCATATTGTCAGCAGGGACGACAGATACAGGCAGGGCCAAAGTGTTTGTTTCTGAGCAACTGGAGTTGGAATCACTTTTTAGAACATACGCACATTTTCTTTTCTCTCTCTCCTGCTGCTGCTATCTTCTCTAGAAAAATATACTTTTACAAGAAACCAAAAAAAATCTCTTAGAAACTTCTAGAGTTATAGGATTATTACTGAGGGAAATTACTGTGTTAAAAAGCAATGAAATTTAACATTTGTTGAACGCCTACTATATATCAGGTGCTGTGCAAGGTATTACATCCTGTAACTGAGTGTTATTCATCAAAAGATTGCATATAGGATAATGTCTGAAGCTAATTTTTTTGTTTTGATATCCCTAGCTTATCTACTTTTAAAACTAACTTTTTGCTGAGACTAATATGTTATTTTCTCTAATTAGGAAACCATTATAACCTTAATTTATTATTAACATACCTAAAAAGTACATTACTTTTATACAACAACGCACATTTTTAATGCCATTAACATATGTATCACTAGCTCTCCTTTTTCCAGCAAAAAGAACCTAAGAGGTGCAGAAATACTTGTAAAATATTTGTGCCCCAAAAATAAAAGCATGTAGAAAACTTCTTTGCTCTTTTATTTACATAGATGTATTATACCTTTCGTGCAAAATAAAAGCAATCTGTTGTTTGCAAAAGTAAGAGACAACTATGGTTGTTGAACTACAAACAAGTCTTAACCCAATAGGATGTCTTAACCCACATCACCATGTGGGGCTGTGGGGCTGTGGGGCTCTGGGGCTATTCTTGCTTCATATGGTTTTAATTATTTTTTATTTTATTTTTTGAGAGAAAGGGAGGATGGAAGGGGGAGAGGCAGAGAGACAGAGGGGTGGGGAGAGTTGTTCCATTCATTTATGCATTTGTTGGTTGTTTCTTGTATGTGCCCCAACTGGGGGTTGAACCGGCAACCTTGGTGTATCAGGACAATGCACGAACCAACTGAGCTACCTGGCCAGGAGCATATGGTCTTAATTTTAGTTGATCAAGTACACACACACACACACAGTTCTTTTCCTAGGACGCAGGTCCTGCATTCCAATCCTTTTCAGAGTTAATGGGAAGCAGGAGATTCAGGATAGCTCATTTGCTTTTTTCTCTAGCTTTCTGTCTTCCCCTCTCTAGATTGATAGTAATTTTTGCCCCTCACAAGTGGCCCCACAGCTTCATGGTCCTTTTATCTCAGAGGCGATAACTGGTTGGCATAGTCTTTTTTGGTTGGCCCACAAAGTATTATCTTAAATTTTGGTTTAACTGCCAAGAATTAAAAATCGAGAGATATCACGAAATCATATTTTGGGATTTCCTTGAAAAATGGTAATACCTGGAGATAGAGAATCCATACTCCCTCATGCAGTAACTATCCGATACTAAGTGGTGGCTGTGCTCTCTCCACTTCACCACCGTCCTCATTTGCAGTCCACCATTGCACCCTCGTGCCCAAATAAAGATGCCATTTCCTATGAATCTGGTAATACGTTTGCCTTTTCCCCCACACCCAGCCCCTTTCACTCATTTGCAACCTGCCTGGCCCTGAAGTTCATGAGTTAGAAACTCTGGTTTGTCAGTCCTTAAGCTTTATCACCCTCATCTAGTTCTCAGGAAATGAAGAAGAAAAAGGGGGAGAGGAATCTAAGTTTGTGGTCTTCCTTTTGTGTGTGCTGAGATATAATCAGATCTCCCACACTAGAGACATCTTGTGGGCATCTTCAATATATTAGGATACTATCATCTTCTGCTAATTTAGACAGGTGTATGCACTACCCAGGAGATGGGGGAAAGAAGAACAATCCAACCAGCTACATATAATCATTACATAGCCCAAATGCCAACTGCAAACATACTGACGAAAGATGTGATTTATCATCATTATGAAAGGAAGGGAGGGAGGGAGGAAGGAAGGATAGGAGGGAGGAAAAGCTAACATTTATTGAGCACAAGCTAAGTGACAGTCATTTTCACGTTGTCCCATTTAATTGCCACATCTTCCCTGAGAAAAAATTTTACAATTATGTTTTTATAGAAAATTATCTTTTTAGAGGAGTTAAGTCACTTTTCTAGGTCACAGGTCTAGTTAAATGGCAAAGTTAGGGTTCAATCCCAGGTCAGCATGACTGCTGAGCCCATACTCCTTTCCCTACACCATGCTTCTTTTACCAGTGACAGTATAGGGATATAAACTATTCCAGTATGTCAGCTTGAAATAGATCACTTACCAAAAGCAACAGTGGTGAAATGCGATTAATAACTCAGGACGTCTGTCCCAGCTTCAGGAATCTTTCTTAAACCTATTTCCAATAACAAGGCTATATTGTGGCTGCAGCCCAAGGTGTCATGGCAGTAGGGAAGAGATGGTAAAAATGAGAAATAAAGAAAACGAAAGCATATTTGAGAGAGAAAACAATAAGCTTGGCTTGATTATGTGTTGTTTGAGGTATGAAAACAGAATATCTGAGCAGATATGCACGTGGCAGATTCTTTGGCATGTTCATTCTTAGGCTAAACACTTTCTCTGATTGATACAGAAAAAGCATCGCTGAATATGACCATCCCAGGAACATAATAAGATTTGGGGGATTCTGAAAGGTGATTCTGGTGGTGGTGGTGGTGGTGTAAAATATGGACTGAAAATATTGTTAAACCAAACCTAGCTGATCATTTGACCCACCTAAGAAGATTTGTAAAAGCTCAAAAGCATAGGCCCCCATGCCAGCCCAAAAGAATCAGTGTTTTTACATGTTTAGGACCTAGGGACCTGTATCGAAGCAAACAAATACACAAAAGCAAAAAACAAAACCCAGAGAACCTGATCCGGCTGGGCCCAGGGCCAGGGCATGGAAACTCCTGAATGGGAGAGAAGAGGGGTTAGGGACAGTAAGACAAAGAGTGTGAAATAATCAGGGCTTGGACTAAGATAATAGTGCGAATGGGCAGAAAATCGGTTTCAGGAACATTTCTGAGACGAAAATCAGAAATACTGGCTAATTGATTAGATATTAAAATAAGTCAAAGACAACAGTGAAGTTTTTGTCTTGGACAATTCCATGAATGGTGATTTCACCAGTCAAGTTAGGGAATGAAAAGGGAAGCATATTTGAGCAAGAAGGTAACGAGAGTGGCTTATGTGTTGTTTGTGGTAATGGAATGAGAAAGGTGAAAGTATCTAGAAAGTAGGTAAGGTTTTAAATATGGGGAAAAGGCAAGACTAAAGATAAAGATTACTATGCTGCTAACACCAAGAGTCTTGGGAAGGAATGGGGTGAGATTAATTTGGAGGTAAAAGAGTGAAGAAAAATATCTAATAGTTGACAGTGGAAATTGTGGCAAAACATTAACACATGATTTTTACTCCTCTAATTGCTAGTTTAATTTTCCCTTTATTGCCCTTCCTACAAAGGATGATCTAGCCCGGCCGGGTGTGGCTCGATGGTTAAGCATCGACCTAGGATCCAGGCGATCAGGGTTCAATTCCCGGTCAGGGCACATGCCCAGGTTGCGGGCAGCAGCCGATCAATGACTCTCTCATCATTGATGTTTCTATCTCTCTCTCCCTCTCCTTTCCTCTCTCTGAAATCAATAAAGACTTTTTTTAAAAAAAAAAAAAAAGGAAGATCTAAGTCAACCTATATAATAAAGGATTAAGACGGAGGCAGGGGAATGGGGAAGAGAAAGAATTGCATGGGGCTAGGAGTTAAGAGAGGTTTGGAGGATATGTGGAAGGAGATGCCCCAGCGTGATTTGGGGCTGTGATAGAGACAGAGTTGAAAAGAAAATTTTTACAAACTTTGCTGTAGCATATCTATTTAAATCTCTTTCATGGTTTTTTAGAAATGCCAAAAAAAAAAAAAAAAAAGAATTATTTTGAAGTTAAGCAAACTTCAAAGGGTAGCTTTGCTGTGTTTTTTTTCACTTCAGCACCACTCCAAGCCTGAACCACAAAGATCTAAGCTTAATAACGAATAAGGGATTATTAGAATTGATAATACAGTAGGAAAATACAAGTCCTGGAGTACTATCAATATAGTAAGAAAATTTAGTCCCCAGAGTAGTATCATTTAGAGAACACGATTTAGAGACATAGAGCTTGAGTGGTGGCATTAGATTTTAACAGAATTGACATGAACTCAATTTATCTTGCACGTTCTCTGACCTCTCCTTGCCATTTCCCAGACCTGAGTTCATCACTTTTCGTCTATACCATTGATTGCTCTCCGTGTTTCCAGTCTCAGCAACCTCCCTGTCACACCTGTAGTCCATACTTGAATCCTACCAAAGTGAATTTCCTTTGATACAGAGCTTATGTCTTTCTTAGGGCTTTTAGGGCTCCCTATTTTTTCCAGAGGCAAGTCCAAACAC